GATCTAAGGTGAAGTGAGAATTCCAAATCAGAGATGGTGTTGTCAGAGATGTGAGCTCTGCTACAAGATTTGTAGTGAATGGAAGAAACAGAAAGAATCTGGACATTCAGGTGTAGCTGTTAGCCCTAACTAATGGATAAAAAGAAAATCAGCTAAGAAAAAGTTCTGGAGAGAACCCAGAGAATAATTTGATGTTAATGTTGTGAACAGTAAGCAGATCCCAGCAGCAAAAATTGTGCAGCCGATTTTATGGGGATGGCTCATCCAAACATCCAGTAGTTTAGGAGAATATTTAGTATGAGATATTATGAGCCTATCAAATATACTGGGAACCTTAACTAGGGAAGTGGCAGTAGAAAAAACAAGAGCTGAATGTAAGACACCGATGAAGTAATAGACAAGATTTGTCTATTGACAATCGGCGAGGTAGCAAGAAAGTAGAGAGATAGGAGTCAAAAATGACCCTGTCATTTCAGTCTTGGATAATCACAATCAAGATAATCATCACAGAAATAAGGAAATCTGAAGGAGAGACTAATCTAAGGGGAAAGGTAATGTGTTTAGCTCTAGATCATGTTTGTTTGAGGTGAATGAAAATATTCAAGAGAAATACTCAGAATATTCAGTACAGAAAGGAAGATGTGAGACTGAAATTCAAGAGAGAGATCAACGGTAGAATTCTAGACTGTGAATTATCTCTCAGTGCTGTCAGCAGGAGCTGGAAAAATAGATAAGATCATTGATGGAGGTGCTGAGGGCCAAGGATCTATGTGTGAGGGGGTCTCCTCTCTTGTTCCTACATATTAATCTTAAATATGCAGACTGAAGATACTCTATTATTGTCTGGAGATCATTTATTGCCTATAGTCTGAGACACAAAACACCAGGGACATTTGCTTTGAATTTGAATTTCAAAATTAGATTAGTTCAATCAAGAAATTGAAATATGCAGGTAAGAATATTTGAATAACAGAAAGTTGTTCCTAACTGGTTATAAACTAAGTCTAGTGTCAGGTATATTAAAATGTGAAATTGCCAGCCAGTACTGATCAGTGCCTCTGTTTCCTTACTTATTTTTTGTCTGGTTGATCTGTCCTTTAGAGTGAGTGGTGTGTTGAAGTCTCCTAAAATTAATGCATTGCATTCTATTTCCCCCTTTAATTCTGTTAGTATTTGTTGTACATATTTGGGTGCTCCTATGTTGAGTACATAGAGATTTATAATGGTTATATCTTCTTGTTGAACTGACCTCTTTATCATTATATAATGTCCTTCTTTGTCTTTTGTTACTTTCTTTGTTTTGAAGTACAAATTTTGTGTCTCCTGATTTTTTCTCCTATTGTTTGCATGAAAAAGCTTTTTCCATCCCTTCATTTTTAGTCCATGTATGTTTTTGGGTTTGAAATGAGTCTCTTGTAGGCAGCATATAGATGGGTCTTGTTTTTTTATCCATTCTGTAACTCTATGTCTTTTGATTGGTGCATTCAGTCCTTTTGCATTTAAGGTGATTATCAATAGATATGCACTTATTGCCATTGCAGGCTTTGGATTTGTGGTTACCAAAGGTTCAAGGGCAGCTTCTTTACTATCTAGCAGTCTAGCTTAACTCACTTATTACACTATTGTAAACACAATCTGAAGATTGTTTTTTTTTCCTCCTTTTCTTCCTCCTCTACTCTTATATGTTAGGTGTCATATTCTGTACTCTTTGTGTACCCCTTGACTGACTTTGTGGGTAGCTGATTTAATTTAGCATTTGGTTAGTATTTAATTGGTCTGCTTCCTTTGCTGTGGTTTCATTTTCTCTGGTGACAGCTATTTAGCCTTAGGTGCATTTCCATCTAGAACAGTCCCTTTAAAATACCCTGTAGAGATGGTTTGTGGGAAGTAAATTCCCTCAACTTTTGCTTATCTGGAAATTGTTTAATCTCTCCTTCAAATTTAAATGATAGTGTTGCCCAGTAGAGTATTCTTGGTTTGAGGCCCTTCTGTTTCATTGCACTGAATATATCATGCCACTCCCTTCTGGCCTGTAAGGTTTCTGCTGAAAAGTCTAATGTTAGCCTGATGGGTTTTCCTTTGTATGTGATCTTATTTCTCTCTATGGCTGCTTTTAATACTCTGTCCTTGTCCTTGTTCTTTGCCATTTTAATTATTATATGTCTTGTTCTCCTTGGGTCCCTTGTGTTGGGAGGTATGTGCATCCCCATAGCCTGAGAGACTATTTCCTTCCCCAGATTGGGGAATTTTTCAGCAATTATTTCTTGAAAGACACTTTCTATCCCTTTTTCTCTCTTTTCTTCTTCTGGTACTCCTATAATGTGAATATTGTTCTGTTTGGATTGGTCACACAGTTCTCTTAATATTCTTTCATTCCTAGAGATTCTTTTTTCTCTCTCTGCCTCAGCTTCTCTCTATTCCTGTTCTCTGATTTCTGTTCCATTTACTCTCTCCTCTACCTCATCGAATTTGCTTTTAAATGCCTCCATTGTTTGTTTCATTTCAGTTATCTCCCTCCTGAATTCATCCCTTAGCTCTCGAATATTTTTCTGTAGCTCCATTAGATGCTTATGACTTATTTTGAATTCTTTTTTAGAAAGATCGGTGATTTCGGTCTCACCGAGCCCTCTTTCTGGTGTTTGAGGGATTTTGGATTGAACAAGGTTCTTCTTCTGCCTTTTTATAGCCCTGGAGCGATTGGAGCGGTCACAAGCGAGTGGCACAGGTGTCAGCTGGGAGAACAATGTACCTTCCCGCTTCCCGGTCACAGTGCCTGTCTCTACTGTCCGTGCCAATTAACCATGCACAAGGAGCAGCCTCTGGGTTAATCCCCTAAGCTGCCATGGTGGGGTGGCCCTCGGAATGGCCTAGGGTGATGGAGGGGGTCGCAGGCAAGCGACACAGTTGTTTGCAGGATGGGCAAAGCCCTTTCATGCTTCCTGGTTGCTGTGCCTGTGTCCAGTGTCTGGGCCAGTTAGCCGTACACAGGGAAAAGCCTCTGTGTTTAGCTCTGTACTTACTGTTGGCAGGGCTGCCTTCTGGCTGGTCTGCAGCAATCCCAGACAGATGGCAGGTTTTTGCACAGGTACCAGCAGGGAGGAAGGGGCAGCAGGCTGCTCATGTGGTGGGGGACATTGGGGCTGCATTGCCAAACAGGGGAATGGAGCACCTGAAGCTCTTGAAAGTTACCAACCTGCTGGGCTGGGTCTGCTGGGCCGATTTTGCCTATCTGTTCCTTCTGTTAAACCTTGCCCCTTTAGCAGCCTTCTAACTATTGAGAATTCTTTCAAAGCACCTGCTTTTCTTTTGTCCCAGGGCAGCCAGTTATGGTAACCTGTTCAGAGTCTTAGTCTCTGACTTTGGTTTTCAGCCCCTCTACTCTCCAGTGTACCATGCAGTGTGGGTCGTGTTCCGGGGGTAGATTTCTAGGGTTGCATGTTTAGCAGTCCTGTGCTTCCACTCCCTCCCTGCTCTGATTCTCTTCCTCCTGCCTGAGAGCTGGGGTGGGAGGAGTGCTCGATTCCCACCAGGTCGCGACTTTTTACTTTACCCTTTTCCACGAGATGTTCACTTCTCCCAGATGTAGACTGGCTGGTGAACTCTTCTGGTCGCTCTTTTAGGAATAGTTGTATTTGCTCTATTTTCAAAGTATATGTGGTTTGGGGAGATTTCTGCCACACTTCTCATGCCAACATCTTTTTTCCTCTATCTGCCAGCCAATATTGAATGAATAGGTGATGTTCACATAACATTCTTCCTTAAATATATCTGCAGTATGTTTTTAAAAGAAGTTTCAATTCATTTCTGAATTGTCTTAATTTTATGTTTTTGAATTAGGCAAATGACATGCCTTTTCAAATATAGTGTTAAAGACTTTAGTAAACTGTAATCCAAAATAGCAGTGGTAATGTTCAATTGTATAAAGAACATTATGCAAAGGTGCAACTGAATAAGGAAGTAAGATGTCATTATTAATAATGAGCTGTGAATGTAATTAGAAATTAGTAATTAGGAAAAATACCACAATAATAAAGGGTATATTTTGAAAGTAGGACACTGGGGATATGAAAATAAGCCCCTTATATGTCCTTTACATACCAGTAGAACACCAGTACATTCGGTGTTCCTGCCTAGGAAAATGATTTCAAATGAAAAAGTGGGGATAGAAGGATCACCATGGCCTCCTAACTCCTTTGAATAATTTTAATATAGAATATTACATTCTATTACACAGATTTGAATAGACTAGCTAGCAAATAAAACATATCCCCAGAGGAAGCATTACCTTTTGCAAAGCAGATTGTAATCTTATCCCCCAAAGTCATATATAAAAATTAGTTTTGTTATATTTTATCAAAGAGGAAGATTTTATTATTATAAAGGAATATGTAATAAAAAATACAGGTGAGTTTTGAAACTGTGGCCTCATGTATTTTTTTTCAAATGCTAAACTTAGTCCTGAGACTGGACCACTGCGTCAGGGGTCAGAAAGTAAAGTTCCTGGCCTATTTCTTCTTTGCTGTCTTCTAGCTTCAAAAGGTCCAGGCCTCCCTAGGCAATGAATCCAAAAAAGAAAAGTCTTGAATGACTACTATGAGTAGGTGTAACAGAGAGAAGAGAATAACCTAGAGGAAATATTCAGCATAGTAACCATGCTAGCTGAGGACATAACAGAAAACCTAGAATTAATATAATGGTGTCCCAAATCCTATTTTCTGAGGAACTGCTGCTTCTTAGTTTCTGTACATGTGTTGTGCCTCAACCCATTAGTAAATGGATGTTGGTGTTCATCATTGTGTCAGTGTTAGCATTAAGACAGCATAGGCTTTGGAGCCAGCCAACTTGGGATCTTGGGTCTGCCTCTTGCAGCTTTGCATCCTTACACAGTTCACTTAACCCTTCTGAGTCCTAGCTTCCTCTCCTTATAAAAAATAAGTACTAGTAGTATTTTATAGGGTTGTTAGGAGGACAAAATATAAACCTTTTAGAATAGTGCTTGGCATAAATGTTTATTATTATAATATTACTACAGACATAAGAAATGTATTTAACCCATGTCAATATACACACATGTAACACAAGTTATGTTTCATCAAAAGTGATGGTTGATTCCAATGAGTATATTGGTCCAGGCACAGGTGGAGAGAAGAATCATTTCAGTCTCAGGGAGTTGAACTTAGAGCTGATAGAGGTTCTCTGGAGAGAGGGAAATTGAATGGATATTTTATTTAACTCTAAATTTTACTGTTGTTTCATCCTCTTTCCCTTTTTGTTCTTTACTATTTTACTCCTCTTGACTCAATTAAATAGGTGCCAATATAGTCACACAGAGAAATATAAAATAGTATAACACAGTTAGGTAAAAGCAGTAAAAGTAGAATTGTAGGGGCAATTTGACTTAAAGCTAGAACTCAAGTCTTAAACTCTGACAGTCTGAAGTGGAAATGAAGAACTTTCTTTTCTGTACCTTGGTTGATCATGTTAATCAGATCCCCCCAAATTTTAAGATGGAAATGAGGCCCTAACACATTCCCTTGATATTTAAGAAAACTGAATTTGGATTACATGTAACAGATTGATAATTGCTTGACAATTAGAGTTAAATAAATCATCCAATCATATATATCTAATATATACATAATCTGAAAATTATTATTTTTCCAATTGCTAAGTGTAAAAATCATAGCTATTCTATTTTTAACACTGACAGTAGGGCCTTGACTTAAATTTGAAAAATGTATAGATTTAAGAAAAGGAAGATTTTTAAGACTGATTTATGGATAAAATATGGATTGTTTTTCTTTTGAAAAATTTAAAGTTAGGATTGTTCTCTTGGGACAGGTTAGGTATAAATCACCTCAGAATTATAGATTTTTCATAGAATCCACCAAACCCTGAAATGAATTGAGGCTGTAGCTGTGGGATATTACACTTACTCTATATGTCTTACTTCACCAGTCCATTTCAAGTAATTTCTAATCAAGTGGGGTAAATAAGGAGGTAAGAAGGGAAGGCAGGTGGCCTAGGTCAGGGAAGAGATGGTGGTATATTGAAAAACATATTTTGCCCCTTATAGGTTTAACTACTATTTATCTACAAGCTATCTCTATCAAAGAGACCACATCAATATCACAACAAGTGTACAGGGAATGAATATGTAGAAAATCCTTACTATTATAGTTCCCAGGAATGTCCTTCTCTTCATCTGTTAACACTGCCTTAGGCAAAAAATGTCCTGTATGAACTACATACAGATGACAAATCAAACTTTAACACCTAGCGTTAGCTTTGTTTTTTTTATAAAGTCATTATAGCTTCAGGCCTCATTTACCTTTCAAAAAAAACAACTGAGTTGAGTGTATCCTTACAGCTAAAGAATTTAAACTCATCATTTATATGATAGGAGAAGGCCCCAATTGAGATCAACTGTCACTGGGTACCTAGGGCACTGAACCAGGTGCTAATGAAAAATTATTCATTCAGAGTTGCCATTACTGGAATTGTTAGTCTATATCATAAGCCAGTGGGAGGAGAAAAATGTGTTAGAAGGCTCATGAGTTTAGAAAGACAATTCAAAAGTGAAAATCTGGGGTAATGTAAAATCTGTTAAATAATCAACAGGCTGTAGAAATTATTTGCTTTATTATTGTTAACTCTAAGGCCAAATTCATAAGGTTAAACCAAGAAATTGAAAATGAGGAAATCCAGCTTATCTACCAATTATTTTAAACAATTACACCTGAATTTTAACACTATAGTTGTACCTATATGTCTACATGGTGAAGTTTTTGTCAAACCCTTAATGATATCTTTAATAGCTGGCTAAAAAAGTAAATAAAAAATGAGCATTTATTTTCCTTTATTTTGATGAACATCTGTATCTATATCTCTTTGTCTTTATTCACATATTGATGCATGTTATAAATACTGAATTTCAATTTTTAATATGGTTTGATCAATATAAAAGATTATTGTATAGTTGACTAATGTAACATATTTTATTAACTGTCTCAGTACAAAGAATTATTTCTGAAATGTGTCTCAAATCAGGAAGGCATGTATTTTTTAGGTGAGTAATTATTTACTCCAAATACAGATTTTTATCAGTGTAAGAAAACAGTGAAAAAAGGAAGATGATAATATAGGTAAATCATTTACCAATACCTGTGAAGAATTTATACTAAGATATAAGCTGGGAAAAAATTAAATTCATGTCATAGTCTTTTGAGAAAAAAACCCTTAAAATATGTTTATACAATGAGTATATAGTGTGATTATATCTGCAATACTACAGACTTTAATAAAAACCCAATTTATAAAGTTGGTCGTTTTCATTCTTTCCTTTATATAGATAGTTCTTAGCTTTCCATCCTTACCATGTAAAAAACAGGAAACATTTTTCTATGTAGCAAATGAACTCAGGAGAAACTGAATATTTTCTCTGCAACCCCAATTTCAACTCAATAGATTAAGTATCCACATTGTTTGCAACTAAGTAACAGCTGTCTAAATTGCTTCAGAAATGTTTAGCAGATTGCTTTATAGCAGGATAACACAGTTTGAACCACAGTTTCTTGAATACATCTTGCTGAGACTTTATCTCATTCAAATGATGAAGGCAACTGAAGCATGGTATTTGAATCATCCACATTTTGCTCTGATAAATGGAACTTTAGGAAGCTCAAGTTGTGATAGGTAACAAAGTAAAGCAATTGAAAAGTGGATCTCATATTTTACACCATTCAAACTGCTTGTGTGTGTGTGTTGATAAGATACTTTAAAATTTCATTCGGTGAGAGGCTTACATACAGTTCAACTGTAAAAGCAAAACACAGATTAGGTGAGTTATCAGCATACAAAAATACATATGCAAATGATTGTAATACTCTTCCAAAATAGCATCTTTAATAGGAAACCCTTCATAAGAATCTTTATAGTGACATAGTTTAAAGTTGTTTTTATAAGTACTTGTAACTAGCAGTTCTTATTTTTAATTAGAATAAACTGTATGTATGAACATGAAAAACGAGTACATATATACTTCTATTATAAATTTAAAAATTATGATCAAACAAGTTCTTATCAGTTCTTTTCTACTCATAATAAGCTTTCTATATACTAAATGCTATGGAGATTACAGTAGTCTGATTTTTATTATTTTTCACTCAAGCTTAAAATCTACTCAGGAAACATAAGAGTAAATATAACTGGGTCAAAATATGTGGTTTACAGATGTACCCTATTAAATCGTAGGTACTCTATAAATACTGTCAAATGAGTGAATTTACTGTAAAAGCTAAACTTTATTTTTAATTGGCTTAGATAATTTAAATGTTTCAGGAAAATTCTATCAATGGCAAGTTTGAAAAGAGGGATTATCTAAACATCCAGTTTGGAATATATGTTCCAGTTTTCTATTGCCACTTGTATCTATTGTGCCCCCATCCCTAAAGCACACAAACAATTTTATTATGCTTGCAAATTCTATGGTTCAGGAATTTGCACAGGGCATAGCAGGGATTGTCTCCTTCCATGTATTTGTGGCGTCAAATAGGATTATTTCATCAGCTGGCAACTTGGATGGATGGGGGCTGAAATAGCTGAGACTGGGAGGTCTGTTCCAAGATGGCTTCTTCCCTCACCTGGCTGGTACCTGGGCTGGGACGATTTGAAGTCTGGACTCAGGTAGGACTGTTGACCAAACACCTTCATATAGCCTCCCTATGAGGCTCTGGCTTCTCACAGAATGATGGCTGGGTTCCAGGAAAGTGTAGAGGGGATATTATTCTAGCACAGCAGTATGCTATAAATGTCAAAATATGTATGGTCTTTTTTTTTTTAACTGACACATTGAATGTATTTACTCTAGGCCCTAGAGGGTCTCACAGTTACAGATTTTGAGCTTGGATTTTAAAGCCTGAGTAGAATACTTTGCTGATGGAAAAAAATCATTGATTACAAATTAGTCTATGTAGTAGACACTGAATTGTTCATTAAAATCCACCCTGACCCTCTTAGTCAGTAAAAGTTGTGGCTAGACCCACGGCTAGTTAGAAAGTACATTTCTCAGCCTTACTGGAAGCTAGATGTGTTTAAATAACAACCTTCTCATAGTGGAATGGGAGCAGAAATTATGTGTGCTCATTTGGAGTCTGGGCCTTAAGACATACGACATATGATCCTCCAATGCTGTCTTTTCCTTCCACAAGGTAGGTCATGGAGTTCCTTGACACAGCTTCAATCATGCAGTTGAGAATAATGCCATAGTGGATGGTAAAGCAGTGAGAAAGAAGGAAGCTGGGTCCCTGGATGGCCTCATGGAGGAAAGCCAGTCTGATAACTTGGATTTCTTATCTTATGCAATCTTTGCATGTGAGAGAATAAAAAATTCCAGTGTTCTTTACACCATAATATTTGGGGCCTCTTTGTTATAAAAGTTTAGCTTTTCCCTAATTAGGACTTAAATACACTTTACTGAATAATAGCTGGGTGCTATTATTTAGAAATAGCAGTAGGAAAGCTACCTCCCTGCTGTCCACCATACACAAACCTCTTTAAATGTTTGGTATAATGGATTTTAAGTTCTTTGTGTCTACTGATTTTTATTGCATTTTACAGTTGCAAGAGTTTTCTGATAAAGGAAGCACTAGTAGTAAAAGGTTCATGCTTTCTATAAACATTTTTATGCATATATTCCTTTTTTCATTTTGACAAGGACAACCAAAATTTCTCATGTTCCACACCAATAATTCATTTGAAAAGCTCAGAAGCTTATAATTCTTTTGACGTAGTAGGAGATCTTAAACTCTGGAAGCACAGAGATCACATTCCCATATTCACATGTAGAGAAACTTTATTAATTCAGAATCATCAGAGGCAATCTTACAGGTTAGAACAGCAGTACTCAAAGTATGGTTCAGGGGGTCTGCAAGGTCAAATCTATTTTCATAGTAATATTAAGATGTTGCTTGCCTTTTCCACTATTATTTTCCCACAGGTGTAGAGATTTTCAGAGGTGTGACATGGCATGAAGTTCTCATTCTGAAGGCTAATGAAATGTGAGCTTGTATATTCTTTTGTTCTAAAATATTCTTCAGTTTTAGCTCTAATACAGTACATATCAGAAGATATAACCCACATATACAAAAGCTCTTTGGTGTCTTCTATAATTTTAAGGATATAAAGGGATACTGAGTGTTAGAATAAAAAGTTTAGTGTCTCAATGGTGGTTAAAACATACTATCTTTTTCTTGACTACAAATACATAAAATTCAAAATGTTACAATTCATTTGATGGCTACATACCAAGCTAAGAAAATGGTATTTTCTGGTATCCCTTTCATGACAACATTGATATTTTTAGAAGAAATTCCCAAATGATCTTACTTGAAACAACAGTTGAAAATCAGAAGAACTTGAGTATGATCAAACTGTAACAGTCTGAGAAATGAGTAATATTTGCTTGTTAATCTATTGAGGGTAGAAAAAGAGAGGCGGACCCAGATTCAGAGTAAAAGGTATCACATCCTATAGCATGACCCCTCTTAAATCTTTGGTACCAAGTTAATGAATTCATAAATGCTTGAGAACTTGGTATTAGGGGTAACTGGTGAAGTTGAGCTTCAGGTCCATATTAATATTGGTGGAACCAAGGAACACAGGCAGTGAGGGAGTGTTGTGTGTTTGTGGAGGGAGAGAGAAGCAGGCAGCCTTCTGTAAATAACCTGCCAGAGTCTCAAAAATTGGATGAGAAGCAGAAGCTTTTGATTTTAGAGGCTGTGAAACTGGGCATTCAAGGCAAGCTTACCTGTTTCTGAGGGACAGGAAATGCCAAGCTGATAGTTAACCTAAAATATTTCTGTAATACAAACAGAAATATACACACATATCTATTCGTAAGTGATATAAGAATAGGCCATATAAGACACACAGACACACTTTAGTTTAGCAGTGGAACAGTATTTTATACAAGACTCTACAAAGAAATGTAAGTGCCCAAATAGCTTTGTCAAAAAGTGTTACAGGAAAGTTTATTCCAGGTTTAATATATACCTAGTGTTTATAATTTGTACATTTACCTGTGTCAGGATCTTTTGGGAATAGTAAGTAGACTAGATAAGGAAGGAGTCATTGGAAGAGGAGACAACAGTATTTAAGCTGGTCCTACTTACTTCTACTCTATAGCCAGAATGGTGGTGTCACTTTCTCTGATGGTTCTCACCTTGACTGAATGGCTCAGTTAGGACTATATGCTTGAGCACGCACACACACACACACACACACACACACACACACCACATTCACAGATTAACTTAAGCAAAAAGGGAGACTAATTAGGAGAACACAGGGAATCCAAGAACAAACATATACTAGATTTCCCAGAAGACTGGAACCAGAAAATGGTAACATATCAGGAACAAATTTAGCAATTCACCATCCCAGGGCCACAAAGTCTCTTGTTTCTGCTTCTATTTGCACATTACTGGATCATCCTATCTTTTAAATCTATTAGCTTTTCTCCATTTCCAGTGCAATGACTCTAGTATCCATTTTTGCCTGGAAGACTGAAATGACCTCTAAATTTTGCTCCCCACATCCACTCTTGCTCATTTCTGTTGTTCTCTTCACCATGGTCAGACAGAATTTTGTAAATGGAAATTTATTTAATGGTTTTCCACTGCTCCTAAGATAAATGTCAAAATCTTCAATATGGTGTAGAACTGGATTACTATTCACCTACATTTAATGCCCTTCGATATGGTGCCCCTTTCTGTCCCCTTGGTGCTCTCAGGCTTGGCAAAGATTTGGCAGATAAATAGTCAAAGTGAAATGTGAGCAACACTTTAAAAACCAGTGGGTGATATACCACTTTTCTTTTCCTTCTGCCATTACAATGGCAATATTCCAGATAGAGGCTGCCTTGTCAGCCTGAGTCCAGAGTGAAGATGACATGGAGCAGAGCCATGGTGGGCAAGTAGTACAAGAGATAAACAAACCTTATCATAGGCTCTTGAGATTTTTGGAATCATTTGTTCCTCAGCATAACCTAGCTTATTCTAACTGATATACACAATCTATGAGCTGTTTCTATTGTTCCATCTCTTTGCTACAGCCCCACTGGCCTTTCAGTGCTTACACAAGCTGCTCCTTCCTGCCTTAGAACATTTAGCTATGTTATTTTTCTCTTGTAAAGTTCTTTATACTTTTCCCCCCAGTTAATATTTACTCACCACTGAGATCTCAGCTTAAGTGTGAAGTACTGAGGAAAGGATGTTTGACCTATGTTTAAAGTACCCTGAATTCACCTTATTTGTCATTATGTCCCTTTAACTAAACTATAAGTTCCATGAAGACAAAGACCAGGTAGTGCTTTGGGAATTATACTCCCAGTGAGTGGAAGGAAGGATTTCTTTTCTCTTTCCAAAGGTCAGCTCTTTCTGCTTCTTTATACACATGGCAGAAAATGGTCATTCTAGCTCTAGAACCACAACAGCTCCCACTCTAGGGCCACCAGTTGATCAACATTCCAGTATTAATTCTAAATTCTCGAATAGAGAATCTGGTTGGGTAAACTGGAAGACATTCTGTCATAGTCCACCCATAGTTCGCCAAAAGATCTAGGTCAGTCAGGCAGAATCAACATGTCTACAGAGACTTCTGCTGCAGCAGATAGGGGCAATACTCAGAGAAGGGGATGGAGGCTGAGCAAACACCCCAAAGAGTATTGTTACAGTCACTATAGCTGACTCTACTGCGCTCCTGACTTTAACAACCTTGTTCTCAAAATTATCCTCATAGAACATACAAAGGAGTTATGGAAACAAGCCCTGAGGGGTTTCCCAAGGACGAAAAGTGTACTGACCAAGTAATTTTGACTCTGTCTCCCTGAGTTTTGCCTCTCTTCAGGGAGTCTCTTACTTTGACTACCACCTTTACTTCACTTTACTCCCTTGGGAATAGAAGATTACTCTTAACAGTACCTTAAAAACAACAACAACAAAACAAAAACGCCTTTCCCACAATTCTCTATAATGCTGTTGGGATAAGCTAGAATTTTCTAAAATACTTTATAAACATCAAGAACAAACAGGAAATAAAAAATGCAAGGCAATAAAAACTGTGTTTAACAAAGCAAAGATTCTGACTTTCCCTGGATATACAGTTCTTGTCTCATTTCACTTGGGATCTAAGTGAAAGGAGGACCCTTGTTATCTGAATATCTGAATGTCTGTCGGTCACCAGTAGCACAGAAGACAAAAAAATTAGTTCATCCCTACTAGGGTTTTCCCTGTAACATTTCTTCCATCTTACAAAAGAAAGTAGAAGATGAGATTAAAGATAGTGGTATGAGAGGTGAGACAGAGGCCTCCTCCCAAAACCACATATTATATGAAAATATAACTAATACAACTAATCCTGAAAAAGCAACAGGAAAGAAGGTTGCACCAGACTGCATACACCTGGAGAAAAGAACAGACCTCATGGAACAGGGTAACATACTAAAGCCATGATCTGGTGGGACCCAGGCCCTTCCCCCACTGAAACTCACTGGCAGGGGAAGAGAAAGAGAGTGGGGAGGGAATAGGGGCCTGGGACTGCTGAACACCTAGCCCTGGTGGTCTGCTCTGCGAGCAAAAACCTACATTGCATGGTGCTCTGGTGATTAGTGGGGTCGGAAAGCTAAGAAAGGTGGAATACCCAGAGAGACTGAGATTCCAGCCACTTGCGGAAAACAGGGATCCATATACAGATGCTCTGAGACGAAAGAAAAGCAGGAAGCCCGAGAGACTTCCTTCAGCGAGAGGGCTGTTAAAGGGGCAAGGATTGCACAGAGCTTACTGATCAGGAGAAAGGACAGGCAGACAAAATTGTCCAGGCTCACTCTGCCCAGCAGGTTGGGAACTTTCTGGAGCTTCAGGTGATCCATCCCACTGGCAGGCTACAGAGCTCAGAGGCCCCACACGGTGATACACAGGCCGCTGCACCTTCCTCCTGGCCACCCAACACCAGACTCACAAACCAGCAGCCCCGGCCACAGTGTCAAGCCAGCCAGAGGAAAGCTCTACCTACAGCAGCTACAAACTGAAAGCATACAGTCATACACCTGTGTGCTCGGCCCACTGGTCTGGCAGTGGAGACAGGCATAGCAGGGGGGAAGCAGGAAACACCTCTTTCCTCCCCCCAGGAACCGGCATCACTCCCCTGCAATCCCTGACATCACTCCAGGGCCTGAGCAGCTCCAGAAAGTAGAGCTTCTAGGCACTACAGGGTGTCACATACAAATATGCAACGTCAAAGGAACCTAGTTCAAACCAAAATGCCACAAACAATGAAAAAAGGGTCAAGTGAAACTGAACTCATCAAACTTCCTGAAAGAGATTTCAATATAAAAATCATAAACAAGCTCATAGAGACACAGAAAAATATTCAGGAACTCAGGAACAAATTCAGGATAGAGATCCAGTGATTACAGAATACAATGGAGGGATTTATTTATTTATTTATTTATTTTTCACCTTTTTTTATTAAGGTATTATTGATATACACTCTTACGAAGGTTTCACATGAAAAAAACAATATAGTTACTACATTTACCCATATTATCAAGTCCACACCCAAACCCCATTGCAGTCACTGTCAATCAGTATAGTAAGATGCCATAGATTTACTATTTGCCTTCTCTGTGCTACACTGTTGTCCCTGTGACCCCTCACACAATGTGTACTAAACATAATACCCCTGAATCCCCATGTCCCTCCCTCCTGAACTGGCTCTGGCACCCCTCCCTTTTGGTAACCACTAGGCCCTTCTTGGAGTCTGTGAGTCTGCTGCTGATTTGTTCCTTCGTTTTTAACCCATTGTTATACTCTACAAATGAGAGAAATTATTTGACACTTGTCTTTCTCCATGTGGCTTATTTCACTGAGTATAACATCCTCCAGCTCCAAACATGTTGTTGCAAATGGTAGGATTTGTTTTTTTCTTATGGCTAAATAGTATTCCATTGTGTATATGTACCACATCTTCTTTATCTATTCATCTACTGATGGACACTTAGGTTGCTTCCAGATTTTGGCTACTGTAAAAAGTGCTGTGATAAACATAGGGGTGCATGTGTCTTTTTGAATCTCACAACTTGTATTCTTTGGATAAATTCCAAGGAGTGGGATTCCCAGGTCAAATGGTATTTCTATTTTTAGTTTTTTGAGAAACCTCCATATTGCTTTCCACAATGGTTGAACTAGGTTACATTACCACCAGTAGTGTAGGAGGGTTCCCCTATCTCTGCATCCTCGCCAGCATTTGTTATTCTTAGTCTTTTCAAAGCTGGCCATCCTTACTGGTGTGAGGTAATATCTCATTGTGGTTTTAATTTGCATTTCCCTGATAATTAGTGATGTGGAGCATCTTTTCAAGTGTCTGTTGGCCATCTGAATTTCTTCTTTGGAGAATTGTCTCTGCATATACTCTGTCCATTTTTTACATGGGTTATTTGCTTTTTGGGTGTTGAGGCATGTGAGTTGTTTATATATTTTGGATGTTGACCCCTTGCCAGATATGTCATTTACAAATATATTCTCCCACACTATAGGATGCCTTTTCATTCTGTTGATGGTGTCCTTTGCCATATAGAAGCTATTTAGTTTGATGTAGTCCCATGTGTTCATGTTTGCTTTTGTTTCCCTTGCTCGAGGAGATACATTCAGGAAGAAGATGCTTATGTTTATACTCAGGAGATGTTTGCCTATGTTGTCTTCTAAGAGTTTTATGGTTTCATGACTTACATTCAGGGCTTTGATCCATTTCGAGTTTACTTTTAACAATAATCCAGTTTCATTCACTTGCATATAGCTGTCC